TTGTAAGTGGCGATAATATCAATACCACCATCACCCTGGTTCACTTTTATTTCGTTGGCCAAAATCATATTCGCTTCGAGTAATTTTCGAACCGCGCCTTCAAATTCATGTCCAGATCTGTAATTAGAGATCTGAAATGTGTAAAATCATATTAGCAAAAGATTCTTATTCACCAATGTTTGCAGAAGACCCAAGTTCTTTCAGTTTCTCCCAAACTAATAGAGATATTCATCATCATCTAACTAAGAGATGAATTCATAAATATCTCCTAATTCGGTATGGCAGCGTAACTTCAGAATCTCACGTATGCTAAGTAAAATGACGAGCATCTTACCTTTTTTTCAGGGGTTTCGAGAGTTGTCATGATTACGTAATTAAAAATCTATTCTGTACTATTGTACAGAATAGAGATTAGATTTATTAGATTACATAACCGTTAAGATTTCCAGTCATCTTATCGTGAGCTAGTTTAAAATCTATACATTGATTTTTTGCTTGTTCGTAAGTTCATTTCTTAGTAACACGAAACCATTTCCCTTTTTGTTTATTATTTTCATAATATTGAAAAATCCAACTTTTTTCTGTTTTACAAAAATGAATTCCATTATACCCAGACGTATTGTGTTTAAATAATTTACAAATTAATGCATTTTCTCTATATGTTGTTTCTCTAAGATTACACTCACGATTATCAAGTCCATTACGGTTAATATGGTCTATCATTTTCCATTCTGGATGAATCATTCTATGAAATCTTTTTGTTATATATATATTTATATTTTTCGTACGTGTAATAATATAATATGTATTTCTTTCTTTCACAGAACACCATGTATAATTTTGAATTAGTTTAAAATTGTCAATATCGGTTAAAAATGTTAAATCTGAGTTTGATGTTTTAACCTCAAGATAGAGTTTGAAATCAATATCGATAAGACGATATTCGTTTAATTTTCGTCTTGGGTTATCAAGATTTTTATATTTTTCCCAATCAGTAATGATTTCGAAATTTTTGAATTTTTCTTGCTAGTCAGAAGACATTTTACATGAATAAAAATCTGTTCGGTATGTTTGACATACGGAACAGAAATTTAATAAATTTATTAAAAAAAAAATAAAATATAAATTGATAAATAATTGAATTAAAATGATTAAAAAATTATGCTTCAGAAGAAGAGGTGTCAATTGGAGATGTGTTATCGATCCCGTTTAGAACAACAGGTTCAGGTGATTTTACTCTATCAGAAATTTCTTCAGAAGGAAGAATTTTACGTTTTTTTCGATTGATATTTCTAAATTTTTTTGATACGATTTCGATTATAGATGGAAGATAAAGAGAAAGAGTATCGGTTAATTTATATTTAGAAAGATCCTTCGGATCTACAAAAATCCATTCGTCATGCTTATCGGGTTCAGTTCGAATTGGAATCTGATCATCAATATAAGTATAGTATACTGCGCATCGATATAGACATTCTTTTCCATCCGGAAAAACTCTAAACCTTTCATTTATTCCAACATAAAATAATTCTCCTATTGTTATTCCAGTTTCTTCCTCCATTTCACGTCTCGCACATTCATCATACGTTTCATCTCTTTTTTTTCCGCCTGTTGGCACATGAAAATATCCAAAATAATCTTTATTAGGATTAATTCTTTTGCTGATAGGAATTTGCTTTTTTGAAGTTATTGGAACGATCAAAGAAAATTCTCGACTATCAATCTCGTAAGTTGTAATCATTTCTTTATATTTTTTTTTCAAATTTGATTGAATAACAAGTTGAGTTTCAATTGCATTTTTCGTTTCTTTAACGGGAATGCCATATTTTTCCACCAAGGTAAGATGAGATAAAGTTACAAGATATTTTTCTTCAAGCTCGCAAGCAATCGAATAATTACTAAGAAGTAATCTATATTCTGATTCCATTTTATAAAAAAAAAAGATTGAACAGAAAATTTTCTGTTCGGTATATTTATACTGAACAGAATAAAAAATAATGATGTTATATAAAAAAAAATAAATAAGAATAATTAAAATATTTAAATAATAAATTCGTTATCACTATCGTCCATTCGCAATTCGTTATCTGACCAAAAGATATATTCATTTTCTACTGTTCCAGATTGGGATGAGATGTATTTTGAAGAATATTTTTCAATCACATCGTCAAAAATTCCTTTATTTTTACAAGATTTTTGAGATTCTTCAGTTATTGAAGATAATGTTGCAGATTCATTAGATTCGGAATCAAAATCATCATTTATAGATTTTTTACAATGTTTGCAAAAATTTATCTTTCGAAAATGATTACAATTTGAACAATAGTATAGAACAGGTACAAAAGATGATCTAAAATAAGGACGTATTTCGGAATAATTTATCCGATTTTTAATACGTAAACTTTTACGAATTAAGATAGGTTTATTTTTTATTGAGATTTGTATTGTGGAAAAATTATATTGATATTGTGGATGTTTTATTTGTTGAAGATTATTTCGAATCTGCTTCATTTTGTTTTACATAGTTAAATTTCTGATCGGTACATATGTACTAATCAGAAATATTTATTTAAATAAATATGAAAAATAATTGATGAATTCAAAAAAAAGATAATATGAAATAATTGATAAATTTAAAAAAAAAAGATTAATTTAATTTATTTTCTTTCTTTTGTTACTACCATTCATTTTTTTCTCATAATGCTCTAACTTATCAAGAGCGATCTTTGCACCAAATTTTGGACCTTGCAATATGGTAGTTCGCCATTCTTGGATTTCA